AAAACAGTATATAACAAAATTCAGGAATAAGAACACCAATAAGAAAAACTCATCAGTTTTTGGTCATTGTTCAATTTATCAGCTACTTCTAGATGGTATGCTTTGTTCAAGGAAGCTGAAATAAAGTCCTAAAACTAGTCTAGCATAGATGTGTGTATTCAGTTTTATGATGAATAGCTGTCTTATTAAGCTGTGTTACTTAACTTGTACATAGAAGGTCTCAACAGGGGTTTTCGGTAACTTGCTTCTGCAAGATTTCCATTTTGGATTCTTTACAAACTCCAGAAATGAGAAGCAACTAGTTTAGGATATTGCTAAATGCAGAAAGCTCTACCAGATGGTGAAATAATTTAAAAGATTGTTGGTCCTTGGCTAAAATTCCAATGTACTGTTTGTATACCAAGATATGTGAGATGCAAATGTTGTAGGTTATATTTCACTCTTGTAGCTTAAAAAAAGTGTAGACCAGAGATAGCTTGTACTACTGAGTTAACAAAGCTTATACTAAAGTATCCACTTTTTAAAAAAGTATACAGAGAGTTGAGCTCATTGCTGTAACCCCTTTCGGATTGAAAAGTGTGCTGATTTTTATATATATATATTATATAAATATAGATATACATATGTAAGATGGCCTAAAGAAGACATCCACTGTATTGCAGTTATGAAATGAAACTGTTTTGAAACATTGTACCATAATTCATAACTTTGCAATGGATCTTTGTTTCTTTTTACTGTGGTATTTTAGAAATGAGTCTCATGTTTCAAATTAGATCTGCCAAGTTTGGGTATTGCTGCTTCAGCTAAGCACAGGGAGCCTGAATAAACCTGTATGAATGTAGTATTTTTGCCCTGTGCAAAGCAGCTCCACTCCAACAAATAGGAGGGAAAAAACTAGAAAGAACTATTTCAAATTTATCTTTTTTGTATATTAAAATAAACAATAAATTACAAATATCAGTCTCCACTGTGACTTCTAGAGACAACTTTCTTGTTTGTCTTTTACATCCAGATGCACCATTATTGTTTCTATGGCCCAATAACATTGTTACCAGAGAAAACCTGTTAACCCTGAGCAGGCTAATTGCAATGAAATTGTCATTGTATACACAAATTGGTAAGAACTCAGTGGGGCTTACCTCTCAGTGGAGTTCTGTAAGATGTCACTATAGAAGTTTATAAGCTTCTTCCCAGGACTAAAGATGTGAGAGACCAAGAAAAGACCAGAAAGATTTAGGAAATACGTTTTCTTCTGAAAAAGAATTTTGTATTTCTTTTTACAATGAATAAGATGAAGGCAAAGCATGCAAGAAAGGCATATATTGCTGCCCGGCCTCTTCTCTCCTAAAATAATTCCTTTAAAAAACTTCTGTACAATAGGAAGATCTATAGGAAATTCTGCAGAGAAAATTCCTGGAAGTTTTGAAATCTAAGAGGGAGTGCAAACCCATTGTCCCTTAGACTGTGTCTAAGGTACCATAGGATAGTTTGCATTCCCAGCTCCAAGGTCAGATATATTGTTTATTTATTTAAGGCTTTTTAAAACTATTCAATTAGCAAGGATAAAAACTATAGAAAAACATATAATGATGTCAATAGGACATCCATCAAAATGCAACATCATAAACATCCATTAACCAAATACTAATAACACCAAAATAAATCCACGTTATGCCAATGACAATATGAATAAAAGGCATTGGTAAATCAGTATTTAGCAATTAAAATACTGGGAAAATTAAAAGGGTTAGACCCGGCACCGAAATATATAAAAGTGTCAATGCCAGGTGAACCTCCTTGGGAAACTGGTTCCACAGCTGGAGTGCCACAGTCGAGAAAGCCATCCCTGAGAAGCCACCTTTCTTCTTGTAAAGGTGGCTCTTGAATTGTTCCAATGTCAGGGCTCCAGTCAACTCACCCTAGCAGCTTTTGGACAAAGAACTGTGCAGGCCCCTCCAAGGTTAGGAACACAACTTCAGGTGTTTCAGTGAGTGCAGAGAAGAGGAAACTGGAAAGGCCAGAATATGATCAGTCTTGACCCTTCAGCCTCCTACCTTCCCCCTCCAAAATGCTTTCAGTAGGCAAAAAAACTCATCTTACCAAAACTGAGGATGAGAAAGTGAGGAGGCTCCTGCCACTCCTCCCACCACACATAGGTTGCTCATAAGCCTGTTAGTTCAGGGACTTGAGGTTGCAAACCATAGGATTGCACTTTAATGCTTCTTTTACTGATATACATTTAGGGATACACTGATTTATGCTCAGTTTTCCTACAGGTGGTTATTATCAATGCTTATGTATTGCTTAGTATAATAAAACCCCAGGCAAGTATATGATCGTTAGACAGCATTGAAGAACCATAAGATTGGGTTCCTAGTCCTGAGTTCGAAAATAGCTCCAACCTCAAAGCTGGGTAATGGCACTCAAAGTGCCCTCCAGTGGGCCAGAAAGAACTAATTACTTAGGTTGTGGGTCCTTCCACACTGGATGCATTCAAAATGATTCTGGACAGCCATCTCGGAGGGAAATGGGGAGTGCTGCACTGAGCAGGGGGTTGGACATTCTGCACCTTGAATTCTTTCTGCTTGTGAGGAAGAGGTTGGGGTGGAGCTTAGCAAAACGTGGTCTGAAGAAAAACCTACTGAGTATTTTTTTCTGAGGAAGCCTCTCTTATCTATTAGGAATGGTAACCAAGCAAATTCATTTCAAGAACTTTCTGCAACCTAGTGCTTGTGGAGTGATGGTGTTAATTCCATGCCTATCCTATAAGAAGCTGGCGTTTCTTTTAGGTATACAGTTCCATTGTTGTATTGCTTTAACTGTCGGGAAGTTCTTCCGGATATCTAGCCAGAATCTGGTTTCTTGTAACCTGTACCCATTACTCTGTGTCGTGCACTCTGGATGAACTGGAATGAGTTCCTGTCCTTCCTCTTTCTGACAGCCTTTCAAGTATTTGTAGAGTGCTATCGTAACTCCCCTCCATCTGCTCTTCTCGGTGCTAACCATGCCCAGTTCCTTCAATCTCTCATCACAGGGCTTTGTTTCCTTGACCAAGGATCATCTTTATTGCTCTCCTCTGAACCCTTTCCAGCTTGTCTGCATCTTTCTGAAACTGTGGTGGCCAGAACTGGAAACAGTACTCCAGGTGAGGCCTATCAAGTTCTGAGTAAAAGGGAACTAGGATGTCACATGATTTGGAAAGCAACCTGAACAGCACTTGCCCTTTTTGCAGCCACATCACACTGAGGACTCTTATTCAGCTTGTGATCTATTGCAATTCCAAATCCATGCTGGCTTCTAGCGAACTGATAGCTTGATAATCTGCTCCATTACTTTCCCAAGGATTGATGTCAGACTGTCTGTTCTGTGGTTCCCAGGTCCTTCTTCCATTCTCAAAGACAGGGGCAATACTAGCCCTTCTCCAATCACCTGGTACTTTCACTGTCATCTCAAAGATAATAGGCAGTGATTTTGAGAGTTCTTCTGCTAGCATCTTTATGACTTTAGGATGGAGTTCATCAGGGTCTGGTGTCACAACCTGTGTTTCCCCCACTGAGCAATGTCAGTCTCACCAGCATTTCTTTGCTTAATGATCTTTATTGGAACATAAGAGTCTGAACATACACAAGGTGGAAGGGCTTCCTACCATTCATTTCCCAAAGCCCTCCTTATGAACCCTTCTGTGTCTTGTCTCTGGAGGAGACATGCTGTGAAAACGGGCATGGCTCTGCTCCTCCCATTGTGCCCGTAGTTGGGCTTCCCTCTGATGATGGTGGCAAGCCTGTAGGAAAACAGCTTGTAGGGCTTTTGTTTGTCCAAACGGCCCTAGGATTGCCACATAAGTGATTTCACAAAATCATAGAACAGTAGAGTTGGCAGGGGCCATGAAGGCCATTGAGTCCAAGTCCCTGCTGTTGCAGGACACCATGTTACACCATCCCACTCAGATGGCTGTCCAGTTTCTTTTGAGTGTCTCTAGGGTGGGGGAGCCCCCCGCCTCTCCAGGCAGCTGGTCCCACTGCCCCATTGCTCTGACAGTGAGGAAACTTTTCCTGATGTCCAGCCTGAATCTGGATTTTCGCAACTTGAATGGATTATTCCGTGTCCTACACTCCGGCATCAGCAAGAAGAGATCTTGGCCTTCCTCTTTGTGACAGCCTTTGAGGGACTTATAGAGGGATACCATGCCCGCCCTCAGTCTTCTCAAATCTGAACGTGCACAGTTCTCGGTCTCTCCTCACAGGGCAGCGTTTCCAAACCGTGGCTCATTTTTGTTGCCCTCCTCTGGACCGGTTTGTTTCACGAAAAGTGTAGACATGACTTTCTGCTTGTACGGCCGCGCCTGTTTCGGCGAAATCCACGGAACGAGTATGAATGAGCGCAGGTTTCGCGCGCTTTCCGCTCCCCTCGCAGCGGGCGGCCGAGGAGAGGCGGGGCGGCGGCGGGGGCGGCGCCTCCTTCGGCCGCCCGCGGAGCAGCCATGGCGGAGGCGCTGCGCGGCCGCTTCTTCGGCGGGCTGGTGTACGGGGCGGCGCTGGGCGCCGCGGCCTCCGCGCTGGCCGCCGCGGCGCTCCAACAGCCGCCGCCCCACCAGCGCCCCCGCCCGCGCGAGCAGCCGGCGGCGGCCGAGGGTAAGCCGGCGAGTGCGCAGGCGCCATGCGGGGCGGCCGTTGGTGGGAGAAACGGCGGGAAAGCGGGGCTCCGAGGCGCGGGTGCCGGCCCGGCCCGGCCCGGCCCGGCCCGTCGCGTCGCATGAAGGGGCGGCGCGTACTCCAGTGCGCGGTTATTGCCTCCGCAGCAAAAGAATGATGCAGGCCCGAGCTCTGACACCTGAGCGCCTTACTCCCGAGTAGTCGCGCAGAAGCCTTCCTGTGCTCAGGCCCGTGCCAGCTCACGCGGGGGAGACGCCCTCGAGCGCCAGCGGCACGGGCCGCAGGGTCACTCTGGCCCGGGGCTCGGGAGGTCCGGGCGCCAGGCCCCGCCCGGCCCTGGAACTTGCTAGGTGGCTTTGAGCCAGGCACCGTCTCCTGGCCGAGCCTACCTTACAGGGTCGTTGTGAGATAGGAGAGGAAAATGAAGAGGGAAGGACTCTGCAAGCCCACCTGGGTTCCTTGCTAAAGAGGATGGACTATAAATGAAATCGAATCATAGTATGCCTCAGTTCACTTGCTAGCATTTTGTACCTCTTGCAGTTTTATTGCAGATAACTATAGGCCTGTTTTCAAACACACAGGTATGGACAGAAGAACAGTAAATAGTGGGGCCACAAGGTCAGGAAGGATGTCTGTGGGCTGTATGGGAAGCATTAGTGTATCATTTTTGTAGGCCTTTAAACCTTGTGTAGAAATGTTAACAACTCTAGCTGCTTGGTTCTGTCGTTTACCATTTTGGCCTCTGAACCAATGTAGATGCTTGTGAGAGTGTGCATTTAGTGTGTGCTACATAAATCTGTCAAAAATCACAGACTGGCGATGTGTTGACATCTTTAAAAAAAAAAAAAGGAAATTTGTCAAGAAGGATCAAGTAACAGCCTGATTTTGACAGTTTCAAGATTGTGGTGCATCCTCTCCTTCCCACACATTTTGCTCACTTTTAGGTAGTGGGTGGAGCATTTTGTGTGAACAGTCAGTGGCATCTGTTTTTTTTTTTAATTGTTCATACAGTTTAATTTGCTCCAAACAGTGTTTTTAGTTTTTATTGTCTTGGTTATATGTAGATGTAATTAGAATATAAGAAGAGCTCTGTTGAATTAGACCAAAAGTTTGTCTAATTCAGTTTTTGGATTTCTACAGTATCCAATCAGTGATATAAACGTGAACATTTCTTCTAACACAGATCCCTCTTAGTGATTACTTTTAAATTTAATAATAATTTGGGTTTTAGCCCGCTCCTAGCTGAGGCTGAGGGATCTTCCATTCAGGCTGCTCAGTCTCAGCAGCACTGCAGCCTCAGAAGTACATGAAGTTCTCAGCTTGTGATTCCCAAGTTCTTTAAGTGATCTGCAGAAAGGCTGAGGAACAATGAAAAATAAATTATGGTAAAAAATAAAAGTACTCAACACTGGACTTGATTAATTTTTTTCTAATAAGAGAAATCAAAACACGTTGATTGAGGCCTAGGGTTCCTCACTGATATAACACAACATGGATGCAATCTCATCATTTCCCCCTATATATGTATCATTTAAAAGGACACTTCATGATGTCCTGGTTTAGGGCCTGTGGTTTTCATACTAAACAGATTTTGAAGATGATGCCCCTGCAGATGGAAAGATGTTATTAAAATATGGATTATGTGTGTGCTTTGATTTGTATAATAAAACATTTAAGAGTTCTGCTGATATTGCGAGCAATTTTCAAGTGGTCTGTGCCAACAGGCAGGGTGGGGGACAGAATGTTTGAGAATCACTGTCCTACACTTTTCATAGAATGCTGTCACCAGTTTCTAAAGAAAATACAAAACTCTACTGGAAATATTTCTTGCATTATTATGACATTTTAGGCCCATGGGAATTATGTTACTTAAAAACCATGGGAGTTATACTACTTATGTTTTAAAGCACACACTGAAAACATTGTGTACAACAGAATAGAGAATAGGTTTATGCGTTCCAGTTTGAAATAACATACTTGTATTGCACAAAGGCAAATAGATATTAAAAGTAACATTTTTTTTGAAAGGCAAACAAATTATTTTACTATGGCATAAAATCAAAGCAACCTGTGGTTTATTCATAAATTGTTAAATATAAATTGAATTAAAAATAACATCCACCTCCTCTCTCCCTGCAAACAATGAAAATCAATCAACAGTGTATTGGGGAAGTGGTTTTCTCTGGCTCTTGTCACACCAGTAGTTAATTGCTAGTGATGACATATTTTTCATTTTATGGTAACTTAAGTGTATTTGTATTACTGTTATCATAAAAATCAATCTGAAGTGGTGGGCAAAAGATTATAGTATGCAATGAATTGTCCATTTGTCACTTTCAACACACTGAATTTTAAAAAAACGTGAAAAGTGAAGTGAGTTCTTAGCAAACTCTCTTTAAAATTCTTGGTGTTTGGGTGATCTTTTAGGGTTGCCATCCTCTACCATTAGAGCCTAAAAACTGACTTGCCCCATCACACCAAAAGTCCATCCATCCTGTACTTTGTTTTCTATGCACAATGCCTTGGGATAAGTCCATATTACATAGTGGTTAGAGTATTGGAGAAGAAATGAGGAGATGGAGGTTCAGATATGTGCTCACTGTGTGACTTTGGGCTAATCACTTCCTGTTAGCCTAATCTGCCTCAATGGTTTCCTCTGAAGATAGAATGGGTGAGGAGACAGAGCAGGCTGCCTTGAGTGCCTTGTAGTAGAGATGGAATATAGATATTAATGCAATGCTAACCCTTAGGAAGCTCTTCTTGCATTCAGCACCAGGAAAGACACACGTCTTTTCCAGGCAGTTGGACATAAGTTATGGCCCAACTGTGCTGTTCAAACTTGACTGAGTTTATGTGGGAAGAGTGGGGAGAGATTTTGTATGTTGGGGATGAACACTTTTCATAATGCATTATGTTTAGATTTTGTGTTTTTGTATTATTGTGCTGATTATGGATTATTGATTTTATGTTTTTTCTGCTATAATCATGGATTTTGGTATTTGTATTTGTGAGTTGCTTTGAAACTGCTTTTTGCAGTGGGAAAGGATGCATAAATTTAATTAAAAAACTGATTTTCATAATCCATAATAAATGGCTCCTGAGATAGGCAGTATTGAGCAAGATGGACCAATGATCGACTTGGTATAAGGTAACTTTCTGTGTTTCTTTGCTTTATTACTACATGATGATGAGGATGAGGATGATGATGATGAATATAATTGCATTCTACCCTTCCACTGCATTTGCAGCACTCAGGATGGCTTACAAGATTTTAAAATCAATAAAATCCAACATAAATTAAACAATAATACACAGAATGAACAGAGACAGGTGCAACAGATAAAACCAGTCTTAAACACCCCAAAAGAATAATTACCTCGGCAGCCAGAAAAGAATCTTCAACTTTAAAGGAAATCTGCCAAAATAACAATGCCCTAGCCATCTTGCAAATATAAGAGGAGAGTGGGCCAAATAGACCATTGTAGTGAATTCTATAATCTAGGTACAGCTACAGTGAAGGCCCTTTCCCATGCCCCAGTCAGTTATGACTTAGCCACTGTTAAAGCATGAAGAAAATGCTCTCCAGCAGATCTTTTAAGTGGGCAAGCTGGCATGGAAGCAGATGGTTTTACTTAAAGGGCTCAGGCCTAGGTAATCATATTCACTTTGAATTTTGCCCACACGAGAATTAGCAGTATTTTTACCAAGTTTTTTGGTTGACAGTGCATTAGTTTTTATCAGTTGCATGACAAACAAATGATCCAGTTGATAGTTTTTCCATCTCTATAATTTTCATGATGGGAAATGTAACAGCTGTTGATTTCTTACACACCCATACCAACCAAAGAATGGGGAACATGTAAGCACTATGTTGTTGGACTGCAACTCCCATTATGCTAGGGTTGATGGAGGTTGCAGTCTATCAACATCTGGAAGGCTACATATTCTGTATCCCTGAACTAAAGGCACAAGAATCTTGTTAGAAAAAAATGGCCATCTTGCATTTTAAAGGGTAATTTATTTATTTTGTATAACTTTTTCACTTCCAACTTTATTTATTATTTAAATATACTCTTAAGTACTTTCCATGTTCCTAATCCTAACCCCAAACTTGTGGTAGTATTTCATATATATATACCCAGCCCTAATCCTGAAGGCTTAGGACTGGCAGCAATAGCTTTTAAAACAAACATAAGCACAATGTAAATCTGAAGGAAAAATTCAGACACTGCTGTTATTATTAGCACAACTCATGTATGCAGTTCTGCTTCTTAGGAATTTGATGCATTTTTGTCACCTTTTCTATGGGTGTTATTATGTTTGTTTCTCTCTTAGAACCTGTGACAGAGTCTGTCTTGAAAAAGTATGGCTTTCCTGCATCTGGAACCCAGATCAAATGTTACACTAATCATGCACTGTCTTATGATCAGGCAAAGCGGATACCTAGTTGGGTGATTGAACATATTTCTAAACATAAAACCTTGGGTAGGTGTACTTTTGTATTTGTCTGCCTTATTATTACAGTTTCCTTGTTTGTTAGAAGTACTTTGCTGGTCACATGTGAATAACTGATAAGAAGATTTATCCTCATCATGCAATCACTGCATTCAGGCTGCATTACTGTCTACACTTATATGGGAGTGAGCATTAGTGAAATACAGTGAATACAGTAGAACTTACTTTTGAGGAAATATGCAAATTCTCCATGCAGATAAATTCTGGTGCCCACATACACAAGCTTTTGATGGATAACAGTTCTGCTCTTTTAAAAGCACAGTTTCCTACAGATTGAGTTGGCAGTGGCAACAAGAAATTAAATTCTGGTTATAATCAAGAAAATTCTTCAGAATACCTTAAGAGTAATATCTTTAAGCTGCAAGCAAAATAAGGACAGGGAGTCTGTCTCTCTCAAAATAGGATCAGGCCATGTTTTATGCTGGGATGCAACATCAGTGTGATGGTTTAGAGTCTGCACTTGCAAAGGGTCAACAAAAGTAAGACCCCACTTGTGCATTTTTGGAGCACTTTTTTAAGCTAAAGAATGAGTGATGATCCTTTGAAAGAGCCATTTAGTCATCAGTGGAAGAGCAGTGACTGGAAAACTGTGAGAAGCAGGTGGTACCAGCTTTACTGCTTCTCTTGTCAAGTGGCACTGTAGCCTCTGTAGTCCCAAGAAATCACATTGCAATTGGTCTCCTTGGGTTGGATAACAAAACCCATTGGGGTCATGAAAAATCCTACAAGCATGGGTGCGTTTCTGACTTGTTCCCCAAAACTAGGTCATGCTACAAAAATGGTCTGGGTTAAAACACCATGACAGCCAAACATGGCTGGCTGCTCATGGTGAGTTGTTGTGTGAATCCAATGTTCAGATTGGCACAATTGGAGAAGGAAGATAGCTGTGCATGCTGCCAAATTATCACAGTAACTTTTGCCAGAAATAGTTCAGTGTGTTGTTTGAGCTTGGTGAGGGTTGGGGGTAGGTGGTTTGCTGTTTGGTGGTTTGTAAATTATCCCCACCTTTGCTGGCTTCAGAAAACATAACCAACCATGCCTGGTGAAGATAATTATAATAGTTCAGCCACATATGACTAGCGCATGCAGAACAGAAACATGGAAACAAAGTGAGTCAGAAGGTGCCTCCTGAGCCATCTAGTCTGACTTCCAGTTGCACTCATGCAATCCCCAACATGTGATTGTCCACTCCTTCCTTGAACACCCTCACTGTTGGGGCCTCAACTACCTTCCTTGGAAGCCCATTCCATATCCTAGGGGTCCTAACCATCAGGAAGGTCTTCCTGACATCCAGCCTGAAGCATGGCTTCTTGAGCTTTGCCCCATTGGAATGCGTCCCGCCCTCCAGGGAAGAACTGGCCACAGCCCTCCTCCACATGACATCCCTTCATACACCTATAAGTTGCTAAAGGATCCCCTCGGAGTTTCCTCTTTGCCAGACTGAAAAGACCCAGTTCGCTCAATCTCTCCTCATATGTCATCCCTCCGAACCGAACCCGGCTACCATTCTTTTGACCCTGTGCTGAACTGATTCTAACCTAACTATGTCTCCATATTATAGGAGTCCAGAACTGGCTGCAGTACTCCTGTTGTGGGCACATCAGAATCACGTAAAGTGGTAGCAACACCTCCCTAGATCTGGAAGCCACGCTTCTGGCTATACATCCAAGGGTGGCATTTGCCTTCTTAACCGCCATGTCATACTGCTGGCTCATGTTCCGCCTGCTGCCGACAAGTACCGCAAGATCCCTTTCAGAGGTGCTGCTCTGCAGCTGCTTGTCCCCCATCCTGTACCCGTGACACCTATTCCTGTGTCCCAAGTGCAAGACTTTGCACTTATCCACATTGAATGTCCCCCACCCAATTCCACAGCCTGTCTAGACTCTTCTTGATCCAGATCACCTGTTCCTCAGTTGTGCTCACCATCCCTACTTTGGTATCACCCGCAGGTTTAGTCAACAGACCGGCTATCCCCTCCTTCAGGTCATTGATAAAATGGTTGAACAGAATCAGTCCCAGAACTGAGCCCTGGGGGACTCCGCTCATTACTGGCTGCCATCCTGATGATTCCCCACGGATAGACACAATGGGAATGGGAAAATGAGATACAGTGGCTTATTTTTCTTCCCTGAACATGCAAACTTACCTATTTTCTCTTGTGTGTCCTGCTCTGTGAGACCCGTTTGCTTTATTGCTGTTGTCACTTGAAACGCCTGGTGTTTTATTAATAACCTCTTTTGTGGTTTCGACATTACCCACTAAAAGGGGATGCCTGACTCTGTTGGCCTGCATAGGATACACGTAATGTCACCACTTCCACTCCATACCTTTTCCTGTGAATCTCTGATTCATGCTGCAACTGTACTTTGTAATAACATTGTCTTTAGCTTCAGTGGGTACAGCTATCTTCATATCGTGCTACACCAGCACAATGCCGCAGACTATTAGTAAAAGAGTGTGATCTGAAAGCCTGCTACGCTTACACTTCTAAGTCTCAAGTTCTTAAAATATAAGGCAACTTATATGCACTGAATCTTTCATCATAAGTAATTCAGCGTGAGTTAGATAAGGGATTCTAACATGTAATCAATATGGAAAGCCTATGGAATCATAAGGTATATGTTTGTGACAATGCAGCTGGGATATTGATACTTCAAGCCTAGGGTTCTTTGAATATTTTGAAAGGCTCGAGATGAATTATTGAGTCTTCCTGCCCCAAAGTCTGTAGGGCAACCCCCAATTCATCTAAAGCTTCTCAGGTTTCTCAGTGAGAAACATGAGTAATAGAGGAGAACTTTCCCTCAAAAGCGGATTACTGTCTCTGCAGTCTTGCCTGTCTTGTGGAGTTGCATAAAAGTCTTGGGTACACGACCTCATTTCACACAGAATAATAAAGAGGCTCAACGAGCATAGCAAGTGCTCAATGTCAGTCGAATGTGTATCCTAGAATAGGGCACAGAATCTCCTTTTTCATTCTGAAGTTTTTAAAGTGGTTTTCTGTGCAGGCTTTTCTTTTCTTTTTAATTGAAAGGTTACCACACTGTTTGTTATCTTGTTCCTCAGGCAATGCAGACAGAAAACATTGTAAATTTAGACCTGATCCTAGCATCCCTCCAATGTTCAGTGCCATGAATGAAGACTACATCGGGAGTGGCTGGTCACGAGGCCATATGGCACCAGCAGGGGATAACAAATACTCACCAGTAGGACTGCTGCTTATTTTTTTTCTCTCCTTGTTTTTTTAAGGGCGGGGGGAGAGTATACTGAAAATAATTTGCACCATGACATTTTCAGCAGAACAAGGTAGTACTCAAAAACATGGGAATGGAAAAGCATTCATAATACCTGATTCTATCACAGGGTTGTCAAAGTGCTTTGTGGTCAGGGGTTAATATTTCAGCTTTTACCTAGCTCATAGTGAGCAGGAGAAGACTAAGTAATTGCAAAAGGAGACAGAGGAATCCAGTTTTGAATTATTATGCAACATACAATTAAATGATGATATGCCATTGCTGTTCTGTGTTTCATTGTTCTTATTGGTTGCTGCCTCTGAAAGAACATTATTCTAATCACTTTATTCTGGTTAATTCTAAGTGCTTAAGTAGGCCTAGACATCCATCTAAAATTCAATTGCAATTCTGTTTTTCATATAGAAAGCCATGGCAGAAACGTTTTATCTGTCCAACATAGTACCTCAGAACTATGAGAATAATGCTGGATTCTGGAATAGGTAGGTTCTTGCTAGATCAACTAAGTACACTGTAAAATTCAAACACAGCCAGTCATGCTGAATGTGGAATGCTGGAAGCTGTAGGACTTTTTTCCTTTTTAAACAGGCATAGAATTGCACTCTTAATCATGTTTCAGTAAAAATGGAGAGAATTATAAAACATAAAGAAACATCTCAAAGCTAAAGGAGGAGAAATAAGCAAGAAAAAAGTGTGACAGTTTTTGTCTCTAGGAGAAGAGGAACAACATATTATTGGTATTCTGATGGTCTAGCCAGAACACTGGCTACAATGTGTTTATGCAGTGAGTTTATGCAATGAGAATAATATTGCTCAGGGCAAGTGATAGGCATGTTAAGCCTTTGTACAGGGTTCAGATATTTATTTATTGAGATTTATAATCTCTTATATCCTGAAGGCTCATAGAGCAACAGTTTAAAGCATACAAATCCAGTGCATGGAAAAAAATTCAATTAATTAGACACATAGTGCCACAGAAATAGAATTAGCTTGCTTCAAGCAGGGGAAACAGTATGAAAATGGTTTCTGTTAATTTGGTAGTTACTAATGTGGGTGAATTCATGAAAGGTCCCTTGCCTCTTACTTGCAAACAAATACTCTTATTTCTGCTCACTCAGCAATGCACAGAGTACTGTTTCTATTATTCATTAAAATGAAAACAAGGTGCTATCTTCTCACATCTAAAGGGTTCAAAGAGGGTGTTGATATCTTCAGTGGCTCAGTGGGATATAAAGTGCAAACCAAGGTGCAAACAAAATAATAACACAAGCATGAAGCCATCAAGGAATGGTTTATTTATTATATTGTTATCTGCCCAGTAACCAATGTTCTCTGGGCAGATTACAAACAGTTGAAACACTACAATGCTGTACAGAAATTTAAAATATAAAACACGATCTATGGATTTAAAAGATTACAATACAATAGAACATGCAATACAACACAAATAGATAAAATAGCCATAAAATCTAGAACTCAATTTCTAAAATGTTTATTAGGTGCTGTGAAGTTGTCTGAGTTATGGTGACCCTATGAATTATAATGCCCTACAAAATGCCCTATATTTGACAACCCTGCTCGGCACTTGTATGCTCAAAGCTGCACAGGGCTTCTTTTATGGAATCACAGCATCCCATAACTGGCCTTCCTCTTCTGCCTTTGATTTTCCCTAGCATGATTGTCTTTTCTAATAAGCCTTACCTTCTCATGATGTGCCTCAGTTTTGTCATTTTTGCTTTCTGCCTGATTTGGTCTAGGAGCCACTTGTTTCCCTTTCTGTTGGTCCTGGGAATTCACAAAGCTCTCCAGCACCATGTTTCAAACATCCATTTTCTTCCTCTCAGCTTTCTTCACTGCCCTGCTTATACTCCCAAACATAATGCTCCTACAGTTGCTGTACTCCTTTCTTGGATATTGGAATGTGAACCTTTCCCATCTGTGGGCCATGGTTTTACTTTCCATATTTGTTGGCATATTCCTGTTAGGACTAATTTAATCTCCACAGCTTGCAATTGTTCTGTTGATCCACTGTCTCCTTTGGGCGCTTTATTCCTTTCATGTGCTTTCAGAGCAGCTTTCACTTCATTTTCTGATATTGCAAGTTCTTCTAGGATTCCTCTTTGAAGGAGTCTAGCATCCTTTCATATCTTCTGTATAGTTCATCTGTATATTCTTTCCACCTTCTCTTTATTTTATCCTTGTTAGATAGTATGTTCCCCTGCTAGTCTTTCAGCATTCCTAATCTAGGTTTGAATTTCCCATTGATTTCTTGGATTTTCTGGAAGGGGACTTTTATTTGCCTCTTTTGTTGTTCTCTTTCATTTCTTTGCACTGGACATCGTAATAGTTCTTTTGGTCTCTGTGTGATAGTTGATGAAAAGTTGCAGTATTCTGAACCTATTTCTGTCACCTTGTTCTTCTGCTTCTTGCCTGTCCTTTGAAATTGTGAAAGTTTCTTCCATCATCCATCTAGGTTTTTTCTTTCTTTTTTTCTACAAGGCCTTCTTCCAAAATAATATCTCTGGTTTCAAGTCAGTTTTTCTGGTTCATAGTTAATTGAGTACCGTGGTGCAAATCTCTTCTTTATGTGGACTTTAAATTCTACAGGAGTGTTATGTAAGTTGAGTTTTGGCACTACTGTTGGTGATCTTTTCCAGCTTTACTCTGTTTTTTAATATTAATAGTTCATGGCCACTACCACAATCTGCTCCAAGAATACAGCACATCTGCGTCTATTACTCCAGCTATGTAATCTGTTTGAATTCTCTATTGGCAATCTGGTGATGTCTGTGTGTACAGTCATCTGATCAGTTGCCTGAACTAAAAAAGACTGGTGGATTCACAGAATTCTATTTGTCCTCCTGAATTTATAGGCCAAATTCTCATACAACATTTGTTTCTACTTTTATTTCCTGCATTTGCATTCCAGTCTCTTACAATGTACCACAGGTCTTATTTGGCGTGCTATCAATTTCCTCTTAGGTGCTTGCATAAACGTTTTCAGTTTCTTCTTGTTTCGCATTTGTTGTTCGAGTGTAGACTTGAATGATGGTTATGTTGATAGGTTTTCCCCAAATTCTGATTGATACAATTTGGTCAGATATTGCATTATAGCCCCGTTCTGCTTATGCTGCAACCTGGCCTCAGCAGCAGAACCACTCAGCGTCTTCTGAGTATGTCATTCCTGGAGTGAAACACCTTGTGTTTTTGACTGACTGAAGATTTCCCATTTCAGTCTACTTTAGTTTACTCACAGCAAGTATTGTGATGTTTAGCTATTCAATTAGGTTTCAACTTTGTCTCGATTCCTAGTTCTCATGTTCTGTCGTTTACTTGTTTGTGTTATGCAGCTTCCCCTTTGCCTCTGTGCATGTTGGCTAGTAGCTTCCCTTTTGCCTTGATTTAGTTGTGTCATTAGCAGCAGTGCTATTTGTACTTGTTCTTTGCTCAATCAGTAGCTTATTGAGTGCCTTCTGTCCTGAAAGTCTCATTCTAAGTCGATGAAAGATGCTTTTGACTACCAAGGACACCTCTGAATATAGCAAAGATTAAACAGAAATCATCATTTTGAATACGTATCTCGGATTAGGAATGAATGCGCTGGAAAAATAAGTGTTTCAGGATTGCTTCATGAGGCTGCAGTTCCTACAATGATCCCCTTTAAAGTTTGTTTTTGAGTCCTTGAACACAATTGGTACACACCACCAGTTTTTGAGGGGGTTTTTTTTAGCATGTGGTGGTTGCATTTCTAAAATTTAAGTTTCTGGCACATTTGAGCAAATGTTTAGAAATTTAAATTTGCCTCTCTTGGTCTATAAAAATGAAATATGTTTTAAAACTTAGTAGGAAAAATACAATTGAATTATGATACTTTGTAGCACAATGGTACCTCAGACAGCCACGCCTGGCCTGTATGAGAAGATACCTGCGAATGAAGGGAAAACAGCATTATCTAGGGATGGTGATAAAAAATAATTTTCTAAGAATGATGAAAAACAAACTGGAGACTAAATTTTGATCAGGATGCAGAGCTATAACTTCACATGGGAAAAAGCTAAATATCATAGATTATGTTTACCAATTTCTGGCTTGGGTTTACCATTCAGACTTATTTTCATATGCGTAGATTGGAAAATATCATACCCTCCCCTTTCTAAAATGCCCACTTGCCTTCCTTTGTTGTTGGGATGATGGGAATTTCATCCTCCTTCCATATCCCATCCCATCCATTTACCCAGTCTGTTTGGCATATTTACAGAATAGAAATGTATTGTCGGGAACTGACTGAAAGATTTGAAGATGTCTGGATTGTTTCAGGACCTTTGATGTTACCTCAGATAGATGATGATGGGAAGAAAAGAGTTGTCTATCAGGTAAGCACTGGTACCCTTGTAAACTTAGCCATCTTATTTGGACTAATGGCCTATGGGTGTCATGGTCACTTTCTGCCAGGCAGCCAGGTTCTCCCAGCACTTGTGGTGAATGCACTTCTGTAAGCCACTTGAGGGAAATAAGAGGGATGTAAATACAGTGGGAAGAAAGCATAACAGTATGGCTTGAAGAACAGTTTGCCCATGCTGTTGTTTTGATTTTGTTCTCTGCTGCCCTCAGCTGTTGAAAGCAAATATGGGATTGTCTGCATAGGGTAGACTAGTAAGCTGAGTCTTTAAATTTCATTCTTATGCTGGAAGAGCAATAGCAGCTTTTGCTGACAAACAGGGAGAACTGAGCATAGAAATAAGGCAGGACAGTACACTAGAAATCAGTAAGTTTTTAAACTGTTGTGTGATTTGTTGAAATGATATAATCGCTGTGTGGCAGTTCTGAGAAGGCGATATAAATGAAGATATTGCACAAATTAGCTTTTTAAAATAATAGGATTATCATACTACTGGTAGTTGTGAAGAAGGTTGCAAGCTGTCAAACCACCTTGTTTTGATTTTTCCTGTTCAACAGGGATTTCATTAAATACTGCCTTTCCACTTTTGAGCCTACTTTCATAGGTAGGCTAGAAACACCCCTCCCCCCACGAACAGAACCTGAGAATGTCAGGAGGGCAGATGTTGTACTAATGCTATTTTTAGTGCTTGTGCCAAGTAGCAAAAACAGTTCTAGTTTTAATAAACTGCACTTTATTAATATTAAACATCAGCTATAACATTAATTGTTTTAGATGGCTGGTTTTTTCCCCTTATGGACATAGTTTTACATCTCTTGGCTGGGTAGAGTATCCCCCTCCAAAATAAAACTACTGGTGATAGCATTATTCTTTCGCTCCATTCATTCATTATGAGGGGAATAAACCTGAAAGTTGGCTGAAGTTGCTGTATCTCAGGGCATGTGCCATCAGTTTGTCTGCCTTGGTGAAGGCATTCGTTGCAGATGTAAACTGATGACCACACTTGGTACTTGAGAGAAACATTTGGAGAATATAAATATATGTTTGGAAATGTAAAAGAGAACGCCAGCAGGAAGAATCTGTTCTGTGTCACTGGAGAGAAAGGAGGAGGTTTTCCATCTTTGTCCAGAGCAAATCAAAATGACAGCATCTTGTTTTATACATTGCTGTTCTCCAGAGAATGTCAGTTTAGTGACTTTTGTCTGCCAGCAGATTTTTGTTTCTAGATGTATCTTTCTGTAATCATTTTTCTTCTTATGCTTCAGTCAAATTTAACTCAGATTAAATGTATAATTTAGAACGTGGTCTCCAACAAGCTGCTACATTCTGATAGTCTCCTGATATTTGTTCTTTACTAGTAAAACATATGTTTGAGGATTTTCATTGCTGAAGAGTGCATGGATAACCATACATCTTTTTATTCTTTTTAACCTAACCATGTTGAATCTAACACGCACAAAAATGACTAGATGGATGAAGAACTTAAAAGGAAGTGTTCAGGAAAGGTGACACATCATTTTAATAGGAGTAAATGAGTAGATTGAGACATGGGAGGGCAGCAGTGAAGGAACAAGAAAAGATCATCAGGTGTAAGGATGGAGAGGAAGGCCAAGCTCGTGTATACTATTTTACTCCTGATTACTGTGTGAGGGTCTGAAAGCAGAGTGATGAAGAAAGCTAACAGAAAGGAAATGGATTCATTTGAAACATGGTGCTGGAGGAGAGTTTTGCAAATACCCTGGGCTGACAGACAAACAAGTGGGTCCCAGATAAAATCAAGCCAGAGCTTTCCCCAGAAGCGAAGAATGACAAAGCTGAGTCTGTCATACTTTGGGCACATCATGGGAAGGCAAGGCTGGCTGGGGAAAACACTCATGCTAGAGAACGCTGGAGGCAGAAGGAGAAGGGGGCAACCGGATGTGAGAGGGACCGGCTCTGTAAAGGAAGCTACAGCCTTCAGTTGTCAAGGGCTGAGCAGGACTGTCATGGATAGGACATTTTGGAGGGCTTTCAGTCATAGGGTCGCCATATCTCAGCAACATGAAATCCCAGGGGCATGCTTTTAAGTAGACAAGTATAAAAATACACTGTTAAACATACTTCTACCATAAAACACCACGGTACGAGCAAAATGATCTGTAGGTTGATTCTAATATGCACATTGACATAGAAAGTACACCAGAAGATAGTTTTTCTCCATTGTACATCAGAAACATGGTGCTTGCTGTTGATTCATTAATGAGGGCTAAAACATGTTTGGAGGCTAACCTCAGTGTATTAAAAATTCCTGCTCCAACTACATGAGAATGTGTTTGTGCAATGAAAGAACCAATGGCTTCTTTGGTTGAATAGTTCATTCCCCCCCCCCCCCCGGAATCAGAGAATGTGCTGATTTGCTATTTCCACTCTTTTCTATTCTTCTATAGCTTTATGCTAGATAGAAAAAGTCAGAAAAAAGAAGGAAATTATACAAACTCACTAGGTCATTGAGTTACTGAATTGTCCTTATGGTTAGGAGGGTTTTCCTATTCTACAGAGCCTAAATCTAAGTGAGGTGTGAATTAGCTGATTAAGCACACACATTAATTAATATCTGCTTGTTCTTCAATTATATTCAGTTATGTTTATCTTTCCATTTTAATGATAATTGAATTAGTTAATTCACTTAATTTTAAAATGTGGAAGACATAAGGATGATAGCTATTGCAAACTGCCAGGGTGAAATCTTAGAAGAGCTAACTGTCCCATCTACAATTTGAATGCTTGTGGGGTAAATTAAACTTATGTTTTTATTGATCAAGAAATGATTAGAAATTCCCCATCACACACACACATGCACACACTTTGGGAAAGCATTTTTAAAATAATAGTACTGGTATTTTCCCCTGCCAATATCTGAGCATTTAGGGAAAAAAATTAAACAAGATTCCTAAAGTATTAGTAGCTTTTATAGAAGCATAAAGGAGTGGATAAATATATAACCAACAGTCACAAACTGTGTTTCTTCTAAATAAATTAACTTTATAGAGTTCTTTAACATGATACCTCTCTTGGTATGCAAGAATGTATCAAAATAGGTTGGGCAGGTTCTCTGTTTAGCACACAAAATTGGCATAATAATCATCTCCAAAAATGGCAATAAGGTTTTTAAACAGAACTTTGTCTCTGAAAGAAGAATGCAAACTGGGTAATTCAGAATAGAAAAGCAAATGGATCCTAAGAATATGTTAACATTTCATAGAAAATTGCCTTTAAACAATGAAGGCAGGAAGGAAAAAATCTGTATTGGTGTCTACCTCATAAGATGCGTATAGTCAAGGCTATGGCTTTCCCAGTTGCAATGTATGGCTGTGAAAGTTGGACCATAAGGAAGGCTGAGCACCGAAGAATTGAGGCCTTTGAATTGTGGTGCTGGAGGAGACTCCTGCGAGTCCTTTGGACCGCAAGGTGATCAAACCGGTCAGTCCTAGAGGACATCAGTCCTGACTGCTCTTTAGAAGGCCAGATCCTGAAGGTGAAACTCAAATACTTTGGCCAACTAATGAGAAGGAAGGATTCCCTGGAGAAGAGCCTAATGCTGGGAACAATAGATGGCAAAAGCCCTAAACGACTTGGGACCTGGGTACCTGAAGGAGTGCCTCTGTCCATACTTGCCCTCCCGCCCTCTAAGATCAGTGGCAGAGGCCCTTCTCTGGGAACCCTCCGTGAAGGAAATTAGGTGGTGAGTACCCGGAGGAGGGCCTTCTCTGCGGTGGTGCCCCATCTGTGGAATGCGCCCCCCAGAGAGGTCCGCCTGGCGCCGTCATTATTTGCTTTTCGGTGCCAGGCCAAGACCTTTTTATTTAAATGTTATTTTAATTGATTGTTAAATTATAAATTAAATTGCTTTTGTCTAACTCCGGGATGTTTCCAATTCTGTATATTTTTGTATATTGTTATTTATTTGTCGGAAGCCACCCCGAGGCTTATGCAAATGGGGTGGCATACAAGCACTCCAAATAAGTAAGTAAGTAAGTAAGTAAGTAAGGAAGGAAGGAAGGAAGGAAGGAAGGAAGGAAAGAAGGGACGGCAGAGGATGAGGTGGCTAGATGGAGTCACGGAAGCAGTTGGTGTGAGCTTAAGTGGACTCCGGGGGATGGCGGAGGACAGGAAGGCCTGGAGGAATGTTGTCCATGGGGTTGTGATGGGTCAACAGCAACAGCAACAACATAAGATGCAGAAAAGACTTCATGCTAGTAGGATCTACTCTGTTTTTCATCAATGGTGCCTGGTGCTAAAGTAAATTAAAATCTACTCCTGGTTATTCTGGTTTAAAAAAAAATCAACAGTATAATTTAGGGAAGAAAGGATGTACTTTTATTTCAGCTGTTGTCAAGAAATTTGCAAGTTAGATATGTCTTCTAAACTACTGTGACTCATTTAGAAATCTACTAGTGCATCCAGCTCTGGCCATTCTAAAGGTCCCGTCCTACCCAGTTGTCCTTTTTTCCACAGGCTTTCATTGTTTTCTGTATTTTGATATGTATCAAAGCAAAAGCAGATTCTGAGAATACATCAAGCAGAATACAGAAGCCTTTGGGAATCATGTTGCATTTAATAATAATTCAAAGTTCCATGGAGATTCCTTATGTCTGAGCTTTCTCAGTTAGAAAAACTGCTTGTGTGCTTACAGCACAGAAGGTACCCAGGAACAATAATAATGAAAAGAGTAATGGAGATAAATTAGTGAACACCTCATATTGTTCAAGACAACTGCACCTTTAAAAAATAAGTCCGGTGAGCAAAGGAACCCTATACAACCCTGCAGCTAGTTCCCTTTCTATAAAGGATGTTTGTAATAAAAGTCCAATGGGCCTGAGGTGATATCAGTAGGAATAGTGTTATATGTAGGAAGATACTTAATGGTGAGCATCATTGCTCATGTAACAGCTCAGGCAAGCGAAGTACTTTGCTTGAGACACTGAGCCAAAGGAA